TATTTCAATTAAAAAAAAAAAAAAACCTGGAATCAGATTTCCCACCATTTTAGTGGGAAATCAAATTCCTCAAAATGTGGGGTGCGTGAATCCCTTGAGTGGAAAATCAAATCCCAAGAATTTTGTGCCTATCAAACAAGGCTTTTTGTTGGAAATGGAAATTATCAAACAGGGCATTAATAGAAAAAGAGGAGTTATCTGCATCAAATAAAGTCCAACACCCTAGTCAGCGCCTGCCGACATTTTTTTCCGATTTTATTTTACTTTTTGTAGTTTTTCACCAAAATCCTTTTTAAAGAAAAAAAAAAATTTTAATAGGCCTTGAAGGCCCAATTTTGGCCTCACTAAGGGCAGCCCTAGATTAGTCCGTCCACTTTGACACATCTAGAGATATCCCTATCCCTAATAGTTGGGAATTATCTCTAACTCGAATTTCAAACTGTCGATGTCATTGTGAATCAACTAGTCGGCTTTCTTTGAGCCCAAAATTGGCTTTTACTCATAAGTTAATCTAATTTGTCATCTCAATTTTTATAAATTAAATATTTGCTAATAAATTTTTTATGGTACAACAATGGTTTTATGATTTTTTTGTGGTGGGGTGTGACTATTGCACCTCCGATTGGGGTTTTTATTTATCTTACTTAGCCCTAATAATTGAAAAATGAAGATCTTGAACATGTTATTCGAACGATACAATGGTGGCAGGATATCTCTAAAAGATTGATCTTTGCTTTGTGATGTTTTGGGAATTTCTTTGGATGAGCTTCCATTTGAGAGTCAAAACTGAGAGAATGTGAAAAGGTAAAAATTGGTTGAAACGTATGGATTGGGCATCTTTGGTGGAGTAAAATAAGCTACTAGATTTAAAACCATTACGAGTTGGGTTGTTTTCACATTTTATTTTCACTTTAATATTACAGTGATTATTGGATAAAAAATGTTAAAATTGAATACTTAAGAAATATTTGGTGTGTGGTGCAATTTCCACTTCATATTTTAATATTTATTTGATGTGGAATTTATCCTTTAACACGTTGTAGGAATCATGTTCTCTATTTCTGCTCGCAACGCGACGGGAAATCCCCAATCTATTTGGGGCAGAGCGGAAGCCCAATTAGCTGGAATAACATTTTTGGATAAAATGGAAATTTTGGATTCAATATGATCAGTCTCACAGAATATGGGCCTCAAATGCCTATAGAAAGCCCCTTTTTCCCTAGGAATCCCTTTGGAATTTGAAGCAAGATCAATGTTATGTCACCTTTTAATGTACGAATAAATCTAAGTGTACAACATTAGTTGACAACAATGGTTGACAATCATGTGTTGTCAAAATCGTAACATGTGATGTAAGAATCAGTTTTTTACAATGGATGGATATAATGATGCCAAGTAAGATGTTGTCATCCAATGTTGTCAACCATTGTTG